GAAGCGGGTGAGGAGTAACGGGCAACTACAGCGGGTAGCGGTGTAGAGGTCCCTAGCAGTCTTGCACTGGCCGAAGTGCTCGCGCTCGTCTAGCGGCAGGGAGTTGCGAATAGCAAAGCGAGCGTGCGCATCACGAGTCTGCCACTGAGAGCGTAGAGTGCTGTCAGCAGACATGTCAGGGCAGTAGCATGGCCTAGGGCGTGGTCGTACAGCGAGATGTCTTCTTTGGCAGTGAGCTGTAGGAACAGGTGCAGGTCATCTAGCCAGGTTTCGAACTTCACCGGACGGCCCTCGGCATCGAAAGCTAGAACGGGAGGACTAGCCATAGTGACAGTAGTAGGAGTAGGAACTAGGCCGCTGGAAAGGTGTGCGTAGGGTCAACGGGGCCGGCGGGGCCGCTAGGTAAGGCGCGGGCGGGGTCGACTGTCCGTAGTGGCACACGAGCGGCAGTAGTAGGGAGCGTGGCAGCAGGAGCTGCAACGGCGCACTGGTGGCAGCTGCAGCGGCAGCAGTGTGCGCGGTAGGTAGAAAAAACAGTGGGAGCGAGCGCCTCGCGGGCGGCGGCTGCAGAAGCGCACGGGCGGCAGCGGCTGCGAGCGGTGCACGAGCGGCAGCGACGCACGGGCAGCAGCGGCGCATGGGCAGCGGCAGCGTAGGGGCAGCGGCGGCACACGGGCAGCGGCGGCGCACAGGCGGCAGCAGTGCACGTGCGGCGAAGGCAGAGGCGGCGGTGCGCAAGCAGCAGCGGAAGCAGCGCACGGGCGGCAGCTGCGTATGCGCACGTGCGGCAGTGGCAGCGGCGCACGGGCGGCTACGGGCAGCGGGGCGTGCGCGAGCAGGCGACGAGCGGCTGCGGGGCGTGCGCGAGCAGGCGGACGGGCTGCGCGGGTGTGCGCGAGCAGGCGACGGGCGGCTGCTGACGTGCGGCCTCTGCGACGGCGGGCTGCGGGCCTGCGGGGCGTGCGCGAGCAGGCGACGGGCGGCTGCAGCAGCGGGTGCGTCAGCGTGGCGCACAGGGCAGCGGCGGGCAGTGCGCGAGGCCACGAGGCGCACGGGCAGCAGCGCAAAGGCGCGCGGGCAGCGGGGAGGCAGTGCGACGGGCCGCGCGCGAAGAAAATAAGGCGCGCGCGCGGGCAGCTGGCGGGGCGCACGCGTGAAAACGGCCGCGCGCGAGCGGGTAGTACGGCGCGCGCGGGTAAAAGAAAAAAGGAAAGCCACGCGGGGCGGCTAGCGAGCTGCGTGCTCGTGGTAGGTAGGTAAGGCGCGCTCTAGGACGCGCAGGCGCACGAGGCGCACAGTAGGTAGGTAGGTAGGTAGGTGGGCCCTAAGAACAGTCCTAGCGACGGACCTGCTCTGAAACCATGTCAGTGATAACGGACTGGAATGGTGAACTAGAAAGGATTGTGAGTACAAATATGAAACCCTAATGTTGTGACCCCCCTATAGGCTAACCCACTACAGCCTACACAAACACAACACATATAATTTTGACAATAATATCTGCTCCCCTGCTGTCTCTCCACATGCTCCCTCCACAGCTACAGCCTGGTGAGCTACAGCCTGCTCTGATACAGCCTAGCCTGCTCTGATACAGCCTGCCCTGCTACAGCCTGAACGGGCGTCCATCCCACTGAGCATGCGAGCCCACTCCCCTCGCCATGATCGGGTGGGTGCCACTGGGTGATGGCGGCTGCAGCATTGCAGAAGTACACGCCGTGGGAGAGCGGCTCCCACACCGCCTGCCATGCACCCTCCTCCGCCACCACCAATGACACTCCCCTGCCTGCCCTTCCATTGCCTGCCCTTCCATTGCCTGCTCTCCCACTGTCTGCCAATCCAATGCCCTTCCGCCACCACGAATGAATCCCCCTCTGCTTGCCCTTCCAGTGTTTGCTCTCCCTCTGCCCGCCCTTCCAGTGTTTGCTCTCCCTCTGCCCGCCCTTCCAGTGTTTGCTCTCCCTCTGCCCGCCCTTCCAGTGTTTGCTCTCCCTCTGCCTGCCCTTCCAGTGTTTGCTCTCCCTCTGCCCGCCCTTCCAGTGTTTGCTCTCCCTCTGCCCGCCCTTCCAGTGTTTGCTCTCCCTCTGCCCGCCCTTCCAGTGTTTGCTCTCCCTCTGCCCGCCCTTCCAGTGTTTGCTCTCCCTCTGCCCGCCCTTCCAGTGTTTGCTCTCCCTCTGCCCGCCCTTCCAGTGTTTGCTCTCCCTCTGCCCGCCCTTCCAGTGTTTGCTCTCCCTCTGCCCGCCCTTCCAGTGTTTGCTCTCCCTCTGCCCGCCCTTCCAGTGTTTGCTCTCCCTTTGCCCGCCCTTCCAGTGTTTGCTCTCCCTCTGCCTGCCCTTCCAGTGTTTGCTCTCCCTCTGCCCGCCCTTCCAGTGTTTGCTCTCCCTCTGCTTGCCCTTCCAGTGTTTGCTCTCCCTCTGCCTGCCCTTCATCCGCCTGCCATTCCACCGCCTGCCATGCACCCTCCTCCGCCACCACGAATGAATCCCCCTCTACCTGCCCTTCCACTGCCTGCCCTTCCACCTGCTCCCCCCCACCTATTCTTTCCTCGTCTGCTTTGCACCACCCTCTGCCACTCTTCCTCTAGAAGCACCTACTTCTGCCTCTGCAGCAACCTGTGCTGCTGTCCCCATGCCACCCTCCACTGCCTCTGCACCGCACCCCACCACTACCACTCCTGCCATACCCTCCGCCGCTGTCCCTGTGAGAGCACTTCTGTCTGCATCACCAGCAGCAACCTGCCTTGCTGCATATGCACCACCTTCCAATGCTATCACTGCACCCACCCCCGCCATGCCCTCTGTACCAACCTCTACCCCTGCACCTGTATCGCCCTCTGCTGCTCCCTGTCCATCCCCCCTCCTCCTGCCCCGCCCCCGCCTCTTCTTCTTCCCTCCACGAGCCCCACCAGAACCACCACCACCATCGCCACTAGCGCCGCCACTTCCCTGCTGCTGCTTCTTCAAAGGAACACACGCACACACACACACACACACACACACACACACGCACGCACGCACGCACGCACACACACACACACACACACACACACACACACGCACGCACGCACGCACACACAACACACACACACACCCACGCACGCACGCACGCACGCACGCACACACACACAAGCAAAAGAAAAGGCGTGAGAAGAGGATCAAGCTGAGACGTAAACAAACATTGTAGCAACCTAACCTCCATGTGCAGACCCGCTGCTCTGTTAGTCACCATGCAGTGGTGGGGCAGGGGCCGCCAGTCAGTGGGGTGCCCGGACCGTGTGCAGTCCAGAAACGGAGGGCACTAGATCCCTGCAGCATTTTTTGGAAAGGATTGCAAATGCAAAAAAAATGCTTCAGAGTGGATCTAGTGTTATCAGAATCAATGTAAAGGCACAACGGGGAGAGCAGCAGGAGGTGGGAGAGGAGAGCAATCACATGAAGTTCACGCGCACTCACTCACCTCACCTCACCACATCGACTCGTACTATCTGCATGGTCTGGGTCGCCTGTATTGTACTAAACTGCACTGGCAGGCCAAGAGCAGCCAGGCCGCCTGCCAACTCCTCATTCTCAGGCCCTTCACCTTCCACCACTGCTCATTCCACTCTCACCTTACCTTCCCACGACTCACCTTAATCTCCTGTGCTGATTGCATGGCTCGGACCCCTCCACTGCACTGGCACGCCAAGAGCAGAGCAGCCAGGGCGCCGCCTGCCACCTCCTCATCTTCCACCAACCTCCCCTGCCCCCACTGCTCATTCCCCGCTCACCTTAGCATCCTGAGCTGTTTGCAAGGCTCGGACCCCTCCACTGAATTGCGCTGGCAAGCCAAGAGCAGCCAGGGCGCCTGCCAGCTCTGCTTCCACCAGCCCTTCCCTTTCCAGCAGTGCTAATTCCAAACTCACCTTAGCATCCTGTGCTGATTGCACAGCCAGAGCCCCTCCACTGAACTGCACTGGCAAGCCTAGAGCACTCATGGCGCCTGCCAGCTCCGCACCTTCCACCTCTTCATCCTCACGCGCTTCGTCTTCCACCCACCCGCTGCTTCCCAAACCCCCCTCTCCACCATGACCCCCGTCGGGCCTCTCGTCTGTTCTGCCCTCTCCCACTGTTGAAGCACATGCCATGCGCCCCTCACCTCCTTCCCACCGCATCACTTTCCCCGTGCCTCCCCTCCATGGCACCACCTGCACCTTGCAGCACTGCAGCTCGTTACACGAGGGCCGGCGCCTGGCACGATCGTCGCTGCGGGAAGAGGGGAGATTGGAGAACGGGAATGAGGGACGGGGGAGATGGAGGTAGGGGGAAAGGGGGAAAGGTGATCTTCGCCTTGCCTCCCCTCCACGGCACCCCCTGCACCTTGCTGCACTGCAGCTCGTTGCATGAGGCACTGCAGCTCGTTGCATGAGGCACTGCAGCTCGTTGCATGAGGCACTGCAGCTCGTTGCATGAGGCACTGCAGCTCGTTGCATGAGGGCCGGCGCCTGGCACGATCGTCACTGCGGGAAGAGGGGAGATTGGAGAACGGAAATGAGGAACGGGGGAGTTGGAGGTAGGGGGAAAGGGGGTATGGGGCGGGGAAGGGAGATCCTCGGCTGCTGTGCAAGGCACCACGTGCGCGTTGCACGAGGGCTGACGCCTGGAGCGATTGATACTGGGAGAGAAGGGAAGTATGGAGAACGGGACCAGGGGAGCCAGGAGGGGGAATAGCGGGAGGGTCCCGGGAGAGAGAGGGAGGAGGGAGTTGGGGATATGGGGGAGTGGGAAGGGTGTTGTTTTGAGTCGACTCAAAACAGGGGAGGGGGGAGTTGGGGATATAGGGGAATGGGAAGGGTGATCTTTGTGTTGGCTTGCCTCCACGGCACCGACTTCACCGGCTCGCCTCCACGGCACCGACTTCACCGGCTCGCCTCCACGGCATCGACTTCACCGGCTCGCCTCCACGGCACCGACTTCACCGGCTCGCCTCCACGGCACCGACTTCACCGGCTCGCCTCCACGGCACCGACTTCACCGGCTCGCCTCCACGGCACCGACTTCACCGGCTCGCCTCCACGGCACCGACTTCACCGGCTCGCCTCCACGGCACCGACTTCACCGGCTCGCCTCCACGGCACCGACTTCACCGGCTCGCCTCCACGGCACCGACTTCACCGGCTCGCCTCCACGGCACCGACTTCACCGGCTCGCCTCCACGGCACCGACTTCACCGGCTCGCCTCCACGGCACCGACGTCACCGGCTCGCCTCCACGGCACCGACTTCACCGGCTCGCCTCCACGGCACCGACTTCACCGGCTCGCCTCCACGGCACCGACTTCACCGGCTCGCCTCCACGGCACCGACTTCACCGGCTCGCCTCCACGGCACCAAGTTCACCGTGCTGCGCTGCAACTGGTTGCATATGGACTAGTGCCCGGCTACCACTGCGAGAGAATGGGGGGTTTGAGGACGGGGGAAAACGAGTAGGGGAATGCGGATGGGGGGAGGCTGACGGGGGAGGAGTGTAACATCCGTACCCAACCCCAGCTGGTCTCGATACGTCGAACCAGCTGAGGGAGAAATGTGGGGAAATCTGGTTGGTTGGGAAAGCGAGACTTACGGGCAATTCAGGATTGATTGGGAAACCAACCAATCGAAATTGTTGCTGAGTCAAACTTACGCAATTGGTTTGAGCTTGTTCAAACATAACCCACGTAAGTTCACCTCATCACTAATTCAACCAATCAGATCACAGCCCCAAGAGTGAGTCGACAATGTTTCCGCCGCTCACTTCAAACACAACCAATGAGAAACAAATACAGGTTTGTGATTGCTATGCAATTCTTATCCTTGCTATCTAAAATGTAATTGGTTGAAAATCTTGTTTGTTGCCACATGGGCAAGACCCAAGGGAGTGCACCCCTCCTTGCCATGGGGAAGGTGGCTGCACCCCAAGGGGGTCTAGGGAAGGGGTCTGAAGCCTCTTGGCTCATTCCTCATTTCCTACTCCCAACAAATCAATTGGGAAATAGGATTGTCTTCTCCTCAACTCACCTTCCACAGTTTGTTACTGCATCTCCTAGCACTCTCCAGACTTAGTGATTTCCAGGAGCTGTTACTCTCTGTTTGTGTTAGAACTTATCTTTATATGGGTAAATGCCCTTTTTCTTAGTAGATCCGTTACATTGGTATTCAGAGCTATTAGTAGATCCTCGCCTTGTGGGCATATAAGAGGATTTTGTGGATTTTTTTTTTTTTTGGAGAAGTTGTGATTGTATTGTAATCTCTATTATAAAGTTTTTGAAGACTACAAGCTCAAGCTCAAGTTTTCAAGACTTTGAAGCTTCTCCAAGAGTTCTCAGCCCTCCCTCCCTCCCTGCTGGTGGAACCATTGGAGCTACTGTGAAGGACCTGTGTGTATTAACATTCTCTGTTGAAGACAATCACTTTGTGATTGTTCTTGCCTTATCCACTGCGGTGGTAAGGATATTTTGCAACAGAGGTGTTTTTCACATTGCTGTGGTTGTAAGATCTATTGAAGAAATTTCTCCTTTGGAGAAAATCTTGGTTATTCACTGCGGTGATAACAATTTGCAGTAGATCTGTAACTCATTTTTATAATACAGTGACTTGACTCTCAATGGCTTCTACCAACTCCAATGCTGGAGGTGTTGAAGGGAACAACTCCCAGGCTGAACTGGAAGCTTGTGTGCAGAAGATTGACCTGAACAACTTGGATGAGGAAATGGCTGAAAAGGAACCTGCTGAAAACTCCCCTGCTAAGGACCCTTCAGCTGCTGAAAATTCCAAGGAGCAGGAAGGGGAGTCTCAGGAGGATGACATTGAGTTGGAAGGGGAAGAGGACATTTTGCATGCTGAAATTGCTAAGCTGCAGGACCATGCTGCTGAGCAGGATACGCGCATCCAGCAGCAGCAGTCACTCATCACCAACCTCAAGAGGGATCTCTCTGACCAGGACAACAAAATCAAGTACCTGGAAGTTGAGCTCAAGAACATGAAGCACGACGCCCGGGAGCACGTTCATCAGCTGGCGAGGCAGACCTCAAAGATCAACGATCTGCGCGAGGCTTTCAACGCCCTTCGGAGGGAGACCATGTATCGCCCTGCACCGCGAGCGGACCCGCCCGCCAACTCTGCTAGCGGTCGCACCAACCCTTCTCGCTCTGGTGGTGCAGTGGGTGACCCCGGTCCTTCTACGCAGCGCGCTGCTGAGCCGAGCACGCAGGCCTTTGGCTCTCTGCCAATCACCCTGCCGCCATTCATCCATGGCAAGACGGACGTGGCTGCGTGGCTGTCGATGATGACCGACCTGTTCAAGGCGCACAAGGTCCAAGACGACGCTCGCGTCGTCGCTGCCACCACCGTGCTGGACCAGAATGCACAGCGAGTGGTGTATGGCAGCAAGATCCAGGCTGAGGCGGATAGGAAGCCGTTTGGGTGGGAGGAATTTGCCTCTGCGCTCAAGCAAGCTTTTCAGGTCCAGCCGACCCAGCTGGAGGTGCGCAGTCGCCTTGAGAAGCTGCAGTGCGGGAACCGCACAGTGCAGCAGTACGCCGTGGAGTTCGAGGAGATCTGGGTGCTCCAGAAACCGGCGGAACGTATGAGCGAAGGCGAAAAGATCCACCTGTTCTTCAGGGGGTTGCCTGAGCACCTCAAGAACATGCATATGACGGATGGGGCTGGGGAGGCATGGCGGTCCTATGATCACGTGAAGCGCGTGGTGGGGACCACTGATAAGCATTTCCGTGCTTATGCCAAAACCACTACCCAGCCGCAGCAGACTTCAAGGCCGTCGTCTAGCACTGCGGGTCCTAGCGGAAGGCAGCAGGGGACGCCTTGGAAGGGCGGGAACCACAAGAGGCCCTTCCAGCAGGGGCAGCAGGCTGACCATAAGGCCAAGAAGGTCAACGAGGGTGGACCAAGCAATGTCCAGAGCTGCTTCAAGTGCGGCAAGCCTGGACACAAGGGCTATGAGTGCCGCCACCGCAAGGCGGTGAAGTACTCTGGCAAGGCTAAGACGGACAACAAGCGCAATGACGGCAGTGGTCCCTCGGGCAGCCAGCGGGATTTTGCAAAGCCCAACTAGGGGGTGGGTACCTAGTGGACATAGCAGATCGAGAGGATGAGGCAGTGGTCCTGCGGGATGAGGAGTTGTTGAAACTCGAGTGCCTTGTTGATTGCAAAATTGCATGTGTGTATGCATTTTCTTTTAATGAAAGCTCTTTATTTGCCTCTCGATTTCACCCACTGGAAAGTATCGCAGTTGAATCATTACGAGATAAATTCTCAATTATCTTTTGTGATCACCATAATTTGCCTTGGATAATGGATGTGGTGGGTCGTTGCACCCAAGCGCACCCTCTAACTGCGGTTGGAATGGTAACGCGCACAGTTCGAGGTAAATTATTTCGAGCGCTTCAAGGATGGAGTGTGTTAGCGCAGTGGGATAAAGGACACCACGTGTGGTGGACACAAGCTCGTTCTTTTGGACGTAGCAAGCATGGTATTAAGGCATATTATTTGCCACCCACTGATATTACAGCATGTCCTATCCGACCCAAACATCAGCAAAACCTTTTGTTTTCGGGTTGCGTAAATGGGCGCAGTGCCTCGATCCTAGTTGATACGGGTGCAACTGCGTCATTGATCGATGAGAAGTGGATGGGATATTTGAAGGTTCCTGTTCAAGGACCATCTTGTTCTATCCGTCTGGGGGATGACAGGATCATCCCATGCAGAGGACATGCATTGGTCAACCTGGATATCCAAGGATATCAGGAGACCGTCAGCGTTTTTGTCTTACCCCTCCTAGCAGGCGTAGACATTGTCTTGGGAATGGATTGGCTACGGCCTAATGAGGTGATCTTAAATTTCCAAGATAACACGCTTTCCTTCACAAAGAATGGGACGACGTTTCAATGGCAAGTCCCAAAGCGCCAAGCACTGGACGACAAACCTCAAACATTAGCTCTTGACGTACGCTTTGCGTCGGCTCTCCAATTCAAAGAGCATGTCAAGGTAGCTGATACACTTTTTGTTGTACAGCTAGACTCCGAACCAACTACTTCACAGATTATTGAAGATTTCCCACCTCAAATGAAGGCGTTGGCAGAGGAATATTCTGAGGTTTTTGAGCCAATTCCGGACGGGTTACCTCCCGACCGTGCAGTCGGCCATACCATCCCGGTGGAACCAGGAAAGGCACCACCATTTAGACCTCTGTATCGCCTCAGTCCAGCTGAGTACGAGGAGGCTAAACAACAGATTGAGGAATACCTCAGGAAGGGATGGATAGAACCTAGCGCGTCCCCATACGGAGCACCTATCTTGTTCGTTCACAAGAAAGGGGGCGGACTGCGCATGTGCGTCGATTATCGAGCCCTGAATAAAATTACGATCAAAAACAGATATCCACTTCCGCGGATAGAAGATCTTTTTGATCGACTACAGGGTGCGCAATGGTTCAGTGCACTGGATTTGGCGCAAGGCTATCACCAACTACGTATAACAGAGGACGATGTTCCAAAGACGGCTTTCCGTTCGCCGTTCGGCCATTTTCAGTGGCGTGTGTTAAGTTTCGGCTTGACCAACGCTCCGGCCTCTTTCCAGAGGGCGATGAACGATGTGTTTCGTGATGCGATTGGCCAGTTCGTCTTGGTGTACCTCGATGATATCTTGGTATACTCGAAAACCGAAGACGAGCATACGGAACATTTGAAATGGGTCCTCGGAAAATTACGCGAGCACAAATACTACGCGCGTTTGTGGAAATGCCATTTTTACAAACGTGAGCTAGAGTATTTGGGGCACGTGGTGGGGCATAACGGGTTGAAAGTGGACCCCAAGAAGGTAGCAGCTGTCCAGGAGTGGCCCGTCCCACGCGACGTTGGCCAAGTTCGATCATTCCTAGGCCTGGCGAATTATTTTCGTCGCTTCTTGGAAAATTATTCCACGATAGTCGCTCCCCTCACGGCATTAACCCGGAAAGGGTGCACATGGGAGTGGACCCCACAGTGCCAAAAGGCCTTCGAAGAGGTCAAGCATAAATTAACTAACGCACCAGTTTTGGTGTTGCCAGACCCACAGAAACCATACGAGGTGGTTACGGACGCCTCAACGGTGGGACTTGGTGCAGTACTCCTGCAAGAAGGACGCCCTGTGGCATTTGAGAGTAGAAAACTCTCCCCGGCAGAGCAACGCTACACGACAACCGAACAAGAGTTGTTGGCTGTCGTGCATGCGCTAAGAACATGGCGATGTTACTTGGAAGGGGTAGAGTTCGTGGTCACCACTGACCATTGTCCGAACACATACTTTTCTACCCAAGCTACCCTCACTCGCCGTCAGGCCCGTTGGGCTGAACTCCTTAGTGGGTTCAGTTTCGACATTCGTTATCGTGCAGGTTCCACGAACCTGGCTGACCCCCTCAGCAGACAGCCGATAGGGGCAGCAACTGGGCTTGACGATACCGAACATGCGGCTGTTTTTGCTGCCTGTTTTAGTATACTAGCTACGGCGAAAGTGAGCGAGATCGCGTTCAGTGGTTTTCTGAAACGAATTCGCACAGGATATCATATCGATTCCTGGTTCCAGAACCCACAAAACACTAAGCATTTGACTTGGGAACACGATCTTTGGTGGCGAACAAAAGAGATTGCGGTACCTCATGTAGGCAATCTACGGAACGATATTTTGGAAGAGGTGCACGCCACTAAATACGGGGGACATCTGGGCATGAATAAGACCCGGTGGGCCTTACGCGATGTATATTGGTGGCCTGGAGTCGGTAGTGATGTCCAACAGTTTGTGGCACGTTGTGACACGTGCGCACGTAACAAACCGGACACACAGAAGCCTGGTGGTTTGCTTCAACCACTTGAAATTCCGAGTGAACCTTGGGAAAGCGTTTCACTGGATTTCATCACCGACCTCCCAAGAACCCGTGATGGGTATACGGCGATACTCGTCTTCGTAGATCGCCTTACAAAAATGGTGCACTTCGTACCCACGACAACAGACGTGTCAGCAGAGGATACTGCTCGGTTGTTCGTGACACATGTGTTCCGCCTACACGGATTGCCACGTGTGTTAGTGTCTGATCGCGACCCGCGCTTCACGAGCCGATTCTGGCGTGAAGTAACTGAGACACTAGGAACGAAGCTTAAGATGTCGTCAGCGTTCCATCCCCAAACAGATGGGCAAACGGAACGGACTAATCGCACTCTCGAGCAGATGCTTCGTTCTTTCATAAGCCCAACACAGGACAACTGGGACGAGTTGTTACCCATGGTCGAGTTTGCGGTTAACAACTCAGTGCATGATAGCACACATGAAAAACCATTTATCCTGAACTGTGGTCGGCATCCCACAACACCTGCTACGCATGGGATCGGCGGGTTGAAATTACCTGCCGCAAAGGATTTTGTGGGCAAGCAGCGAGAGGCCCTAAAGTCGGCACGTCGTTGGTTGCAATTGGCCCAACAAAGGCAAAAATCCTATGCCGATATGAAACGCCGGGAAATCTCGTTCTCCGTTGGAGACAAAGTTTTGTTAAGCACGAAGAATATTCGGCTTAAGATCCCTGGTGCGAGAAAGTTGTTCCCTCGATGGATTGGGCCCTTTGAGGTGACTCAACGAGTTGGTGCGGTAGCTTACAAGCTCAAGCTACCTGATACCCTGCAGATTCACAATGTCTTCCATGTGTCTCTGTTAAGCAAGTACGTTGCAGACGGCAAGTACTTACCACCACCAACAATCGTCCTGGGGGAGGAACTGTACTATGAAGTCGAACGAGTGCTTTTGCATCGTGATCGACAACGCGGCCGCAAGACTGTACGAGAGTTCCTCATTAAGTGGAAAGGCTATGGGCCTGAACACAACTCATGGGAGCCGGAAGAACATTTGACTGATACTGCGGTTCAGTCTTACATGGAAGACCTGGCTCAGCGAGCACTCCCACAACCAGCGGATGGTGTTGACCCTGGTCGTAATGTGGTTCGTCGTGCTCGTAGCACTCGTCCTAAGAAGCACCCCACGGCAACGAGGACGTTGCCAGCTGGAGGGGGAGGAGTGTAACATCCGTACCCAACCCCAGCTGGTCTCGATACGTCGAACCAGCTGAGGGAGAAATGTGGGGAAATCTGGTTGGTTGGGAAAGCGAGACTTACGGGCAATTCAGGATTGATTGGGAAACCAACCAATCGAAATTGTTGCTGAGTCAAACTTACGCAATTGGTTTGAGCTTGTTCAAACATAACCCACGTAAGTTCACCTCATCACTAATTCAACCAATCAGATCACAGCCCCAAGAGTGAGTCGACAATGTTTCCGCCGCTCACTTCAAACACAACCAATGAGAAACAAATACAGGTTTGTGATTGCTATGCAATTCTTATCCTTGCTATCTAAAATGTAATTGGTTGAAAATCTTGTTTGTTGCCACATGGGCAAGACCCAAGGGAGTGCACCCCTCCTTGCCATGGGGAAGGTGGCTGCACCCCAAGGGGGTCTAGGGAAGGGGTCTGAAGCCTCTTGGCTCATTCCTCATTTCCTACTCCCAACAAATCAATTGGGAAATAGGATTGTCTTCTCCTCAACTCACCTTCCACAGTTTGTTACTGCATCTCCTAGCACTCTCCAGACTTAGTGATTTCCAGGAGCTGTTACTCTCTGTTTGTGTTAGAACTTATCTTTATATGGGTAAATGCCCTTTTTCTTAGTAGATCCGTTACAGGGGAAGGAGGATGGGGGAATGCGGATGGGGGAACGCGGATGGGGGAACGCGGATGGGGGAAGGCGGATAGGGGAAGGCGGATGGGGGAAGACGGATAGGGGAAGGCGGATGGAGGAAGGCGGATAAGGAAACGCGGATGGGGGAACGCAGATGGGGGAATGTGGATGGGGGAACGCGGATGGGGGAACGCGGATGGGGGAACGCGGATGGGGGAACGCGGATGGGGGAATGCGGATGGGGGGCGGCGGATAGGGCATCAGAAAAATGTAAAACGACCGAGTATGGGGGGGGGGAGGGAAGGGGTCCTTTTTTGAGTTGGGGGGTGGTGGTTTTCGATGGTTTATGAGGTGAAATTCGCTTCACCCTGCTACCTCGCAGTTCACCGTCAGATGCGCTCGGATTATTACTGCAGATTGTCGCACGCATTTCTAGTCATTTACTACCACCCCTCTCGATCCCCATTTACCACTGTTTACAGATGCGTACTGTACATGTGGGCAACAAATCGTGGTTCGAGTTGCCGTTTCTGGTTGGGAGCTTACGGGCCATTTCATTGGTTGGATTTTGCGGACAGAAATGGTGATAGATCGCGAGATGTGTGGGGAGGTTGCCAACCAGCACTTCACAAGCTCAACTCCTTTGCGTGGAGATGTCGGAGGGCCTCGCCACGTCATCTACCTTAGGTTACCGCCAAATAGACAAAATTGTAACAAGTCACACACTTCATTTTGTGAATTGTTTCAGTAATGTATTTCAATATCTTGAACTTCTTTAGAGATGTTGCCAAGCTGACATAAATACAATTTAGTTGGGTTTAATTCCATCCTTCAAAGTAGCCAAGGCATGGAATTTGGGAGGAAAGTTTTCGGAAGAGAAAAAACCAAAACAATGCGAGGCAATGTCAACACTTAATGTTGATCCAAATTCCGCGTACAATTCTTTATTAATTTGAAATCAAAATAGGTGTAATCAGAACTTTCGTTCACGTTACGAGCACCCCGCGCAGTTGTCAATAGTTATGTTAGTCATATAGTACTAGGAGTAGTTAGTGTCAGAATCCCAACCACTAACCATTGGGATAAAAGGGCTTGTTTAAGTAGCGGGTGAGTGCGCCCATAACCCCCCAGGCCGACATGCCTGTAACCCTTCCCTAGGATCATCGGGGATCCCCAGTGGACCTCTGACACCCCCCCGCACTGGGATGCCCGAGGTGCACACACCGGGAATCGAACCCGAGACCTTCGCTCTGATACCATGTCAGAATCCCAACCACTAACCATTGGGATAAAAGGGCTTGTTTAAGTAGCGGGTGAGTGCGCCCATAACCCCCCAGGCCGACATGCCTGTAACCCTTCCCTAGGATCATCGGGGATCCCCAGTGGACCTCTGACAGTTAGGAGACTATATAAGTGAATGCTCGCAATGATAATAAAAAAATACTTAATGAAATCACGCTGTTGTCATTCGCAGCATCAGGCAGAAACATACAATGTTCAGAACATGAGAGCAGGGGAATCTGTGCAAGAATAGGCATGTGCGACAAGTTGTGCCATATCAACGTACCTTCGTTGTTTCAAACAAGGTTTCTTTTTATGACGAAGTCCATTTACAATATTTTGAGCGTGCCGGTCAGGTTTGGTGTCATTCGCAGCATCTGGTAGGGGGATACGATGTTCCAATAATGAGAGCAGGGGAATCTGTCCAATGATAGGCCTGTGCAATAAGTTGCACCAAATCAGCGTCCCTTTGTCGTTTTTAACTATGTTTCTTTTGATATTTCTGTGATTTGCTATATTCTAAGCGTGCTGGTCAGGTTTGGTGTCATTCGCAGGATCTGACAGGGAGAACTGACGTTCCGAACGTGAGAGCGGATGAATCAGTTTAAGAATAGGCCTGTGCGATAAGTTGCGCCAAATCAACGTCCGTTTGTCGTTTTAAGCAAGGTTTCTTTTGATCAGTTTACAATATTCTAAGCAAGCTGGTCAGGTTTGGTGTCATTCGCAACATCAGGTAGGGAGATACAAAGTTCCAAACATGCGAGCAAGGAGGACTGTCCAAGGATAGACCTATGCTGTTACGTGGTGCCAAATCAACGTTTGTTTGTTGTTATAAACCAGGTTTATTGTTATCATCTAAGCATTTACTATATTCTAAGCGTGCAAGACATGTTTGGTGTCATTCGTCGCATCAGGTAGGGAGATATGCTGTTTTAAATAAATGAGCTGGAAAATTGTGCAAGGATAGGCGAGTGCGCAACATGTCACTGCGCCAACGTCTGGATGCCTTTTTTACCACTATTTCTTCACACAGTTCTCTACTACATCCTATTACCTAGCCATAGGAACTGATTTCATCTCGTTAGCACAACTACGCAGCTCGTGGCGCATGTTTGTGCGTTTGCTGGCTAGAATTTATGCAAGGATAGGCCTGTGCGCAACATGTCACTGCGCCAACGTCTGGATGCCTTTTTTACCACTATTTCTTCACACACTTCTCAACTACGTTCTATTACCTAGCCATAGGAACTGATTTCATCTCGTTAGCACAACTACGCAGCTCGTGGCGCATGTTTGTGCGTTTGCTGGCCTGAATCTGTGCAAGGATATACCTGTGCGCAACATGTCCGCTCGCCAACGTCTGGATGCATTTTTTACCAATATAACTTCACATAGTTCCCTATTACATCCTATTCCCTAGCCATAAGAACTTGTTTGAGCTCGTTCACACAACTACGCAACATGTGGCGCAAGTTTGTGTGTTTGATATTGTCGCTGGTCGTGTCGTCCGCAGCACCTGTATTCCGGGGCCTTTCTCCTCCCGGTAGCTCAGAGAGCCGGTTGCACCTGTCGCCCGTGGGTCCGTTGCTACTGTCGCTGGCTGATCAGTTGCAGAGCCTGTTACTCCTGTATTCCGGGGCCTTTCTCCTCCCGGTAGCCACCAGCGTTGCACCAGAGCCGTCTGTTGCCCGAGTGTCTGCAGCTTCAGTCGTCGCCTCCACTCTTCTCTCATCTCGCCAGCCCTCCTCCTCCTCGCTTGCCCTCTGTGACAGCTTTAGCTTTACCCATAATTGTGAACTTTAAACTTTTGCTTCTTGTTCATGTGCTCAGAATGTGTGGTGACATCGTGATCCACCCTGAGCTTGTACTGCTTTGCTTGCTGTGCTGATTACACCCCACTTTGGCTATGGGGGTGTGTCAGAATATTATGCTCTAGCCTGCAGTGGGGTGCTCTATAGCGAGTACAGCCCTTCTAGGGTTAGCTATTTGTACCACCGTTGTTGCTAGTGCAAAGCCCCTCTTTCGTTCCTTGCCTAGCTAGGGTTCTCCTAGCTATGGCCTCTCACTGTACCTACTATTTCGACAGACCCTCCACCTGGACGTGTGGGGCCCAGCCCGCGTTCGTGGTCAGGGCGGTGAGCGGTACTTTTTGCTGGTTGTCGACGACTACTCGCGTTACACCACGGTCTTCCCCTTGCGCACCAAGGGTGAGGTCCCTGCTGTTCTGATCCCTTGGATCCGCACAGTTCGTCTCCAGCTCCGCCGCCGTTTCCGGACGGATCTTCCTGTCCTGCGTCTGCACTCTGACAGAGGTGGTGAGTTTTCCTCCGATCTCTTGAGGACCTTCTGTCAGGCGGAGGGCATCGAGCAGACCTTCACGCTTCCGGACTCCCCACAGCAGAATGGGGTTGCTGAGCGCCGCATTGGCCTGGTCATGGAGGTCGCTCGTACCTCCTTGGTCCACGCGGCGGCTCCCCATTTTCTGTGGCCGTTTGCTGTCCGGTACGCCGCGCATCAGCTCAACCTCTGGCCCCGTGTCTCCTTGCCGGAGACCTCGCCCACACTGCGTTGGACGGGGGAGGTTGGCGATGCGTCGCGCTTCCGGGTGTGGGGTGCTCGTGCCCTTGTCCGCGATACGTCCGCGGACAAGCTCTCCTCCCGCACGCTTCCCTGTGTCTTCCTTGGCTTTGTCCCTGACGCGCCTGGCTGGCAGTTTTACCACCCCACCTCGCGCCGGGTCTTCGCCTCTCAGGATGTCACCTTTGACGAGTCGGTCCCTTTTTACCGTCTCTTCCCCTACCGCACTGCCCCCCTCCCTCCCCCGCCGCTTTTCCTTGCTCCTGGTCCCCCTCCGGTAGACCCCCTTCCCCCTCAGGGTCCTGCTCCTTCAGGTGTCTCTCAGGTAGACCCTCCTCCCGTCGCTGAGCCTGTCGAGGTCACAGGTGACTCAGGTGCTGCTGCAGGTGGTACTGCTGGGAGTGCTGAGCCTGGGGGTGCTGAGCCTGCGGGTGCTGGGCCTGGGAGTGCTGGGACTGCGGGTGCTGGAGCTGAGGGTACTGTGCCTGAGAGTTTGCCGCCTGGGGGTGCTGAGCCTGGGGGTGCTGCGACTGGGGGTGCTGAGCCTGCGTGTGCGGAGTCTGGGGGTGCTGAGTCTGGGGGTGCTGAGCCTGCGGGTACTGAGCCTGGGGGTGCTGCTACTGAGCCTACGGAGCCTCGGGTTACTGCGTCTGGGGGTGCTCCGGTTCGGGGTGCTGAGCAGTCTCTCACACCGCAGCAGCTTCGTGACTGGTACGTCCGGCGCTTTCGCCGTCCTAGTGGCTCGGCTGGAGTTGGGGGTGCTGGGGCTGCTCGTCCTGGGGGTGCTCGTACTGGGGGTACTGGAGCTGCCGGGACTGGTTGTTCTGGGAGCACTGCGACTGGAGCTGCTGGAGCTGGGGACTCTGGCGCTGGCGGTGCTAGCGGAGTTGGAGCTGCCGACTCTGGGGGTGGCGCTGCTGCTGGTGCTGCGGACCCGCCTGGTGGAGCTGCTGCTGGAGCTGAGGACCCGAGCGGTGGCGCTGCTGCTGGTGCTGGGGACCCGGACGTTGGAGCTCCTGCTGGTCCTGAGGACCCGGCCGCTGGAGTCTCTTCTGCTTCTGGAGACGCTGCGCGGCCGCGACCGTACTTCGTACCGCTCCTTCAGCAGGTTCTTGGGCAGGCTCCTCCTCCTTGTCCTCCTCCCTCCGTAGAGTGTCCTCCGCCTGTCCAGCCGCAGTCACAGTTACCACCTGCCTCGCCTCTCCCTGCTCCCTCTCCTTACACTGGTCCCACAGGAGGTCTTACAGAGCGTCGTGAGCCTGAGTCTCGTCCTGCGTCGCCTGTTCGTCCTGCTCGCACTGGTAGTCGTGTCCGTCGTGAGCGTCCTCCTCCTGTCCCAGGCACTCACTACATGACTCTGCGTCCCTCTACTGCTCCTCGGCGTGTCCCTCTACCGTCTCCTCCTGCGTCCTCTTTGCCTACCGTTCCGGACCCTGAGTCTGACCGGTATCGCGCTGAGCACCCTACAGTCACGCGTCTCCTAGCTACTGTTGTCACTGACCCTACCTTTGAGTCCTCGGCTGCGTCTGCTCTGGTCGCTGAGTTGGTTGACTTTGCTGCTGCCTGTCGTCTAGACTACGCTGCTAGCCTTGTTGCTGAGCCTGAGTCTGCGTCTGTCTGTCCTCCGTCCGTCGGGGGTGAGTGTGCTCTTGGCACGGACGTCCTTGAGGACAGACAGGAGGACTTTGACTCTCTTGCGGCTGCTGTACCTCATCTCGTGGCCTGGTTGCTTGCCCCTGAGGGAGACCCGGATGCACTAGACATCCCCACTCCGCGCACTTACGCAGAGGCGATCTCGGGTCCCTACTCCTCTCAGTGGCAGACAGCCATGGACGCAGAGATGGCATCCTGGAAGTCCACAGGCACCTACGTCGACGAGGTTCCCCCTCCTGGGGCGAACATCGTCGATGGCATGTGGATTTTCAGGGTGAAGCGGCCGCCAGGTTCTCCGCCTGTCTTCAAGGCTCGTTACGTTGCTAGAGGCTTCAGTCAGCGTCAGGGGGTCGACTTCTTCCAGACCTTCTCCCCCACCCCGAAGATGACCACTCTTCGGGTTCTGCTGCACGTTGCTGCTCAGCGTGACTACGAGCTTCACTCTCTTGACTTCAGCACAGCGTTCCTGCAGGGCAGCCTGCACGAGGAGATCTGGCTGCGCCGCCCACCTGGCTTCACTGGGTCGTTTCCCCCTGGTACCCAGTGGAGCCTCCGCCGGCCAGTCTACGGTCTCCGCCAGGCGCCACGTGAGTGGCACGACACACTGAGGACTACACTTGCGGCTCTTGGGTTCGCGCCGTCTACTGCTGACCCGTCGCTGTTTCTGCGCACAGACACGTCGCTGCCGCCGTTCTACATCTTCGTGTACGTCGACGACTTGGTCTTTGCTACTGCTGACACTGAGGCACTCGCTCGTGTGAAGTCGGAGCTGCAGAAGAGACACACCTGCACTGACCTGGGTGAACTGCGTAGCTACCTTGGCTTGCAGATCACCCGGGACAGAGCTCGCCGCACCATCACCCTGACTCAGTCACACATGGTGCAGCAGGTCCTTCAGCGCTTCGGCTTCCAGTTCTCCTCACCACAGGCCACACCTCTGGCTACCAGCCACTCGCTCTCAGCTCCACCTTCGGACGAGTCCGTAGAGCCGAGTGGCCCGTACCCAGAGCTTGTAGGCTGCCTCATGTACCTGATGACTTGCACGCGACCTGACCTCGCGTACCCTCTTAGCATCCTTGCTCGTTACGTTGCGCCTGGGAGACACAGGCGAGAGCACTGGGAGGCTGCTAAGAGGGTGCTGCGTTACTTGTGCAGTACATCAGGCATGGGGCTGGTGCTTGGAGGACGCGACAGAGTTGTCCTCACTGGTCACTCGGACGCTTCTTGGGTGGACGACCTGGCTACGCAGCGGTCGTCACAGGGTTACACCTTCAGCCTTGGCTCTGGTTCTGTCTCGTGGCGGTCCACCCGCTCTTCCTCTGTTCTCGGCTCTAGTTGTGAGGCTGAGATCTACGCCACAGCCATGGCTGCACAGGAGTTACGCTGGCTCACCTACCTGCTGACTGACCTGGGAGAGCGGCCTAGTTCTCCTCCAGTTCTGTACGGTGACAACAAGGCGGCTCTTGCCTTGTGTCAGGAGCACAGACTGGAGCACAGGACGAAGCACATTGCTCTTCGCTACTTTCTTGCTCGAGAGCTTCAGCAGCGCGGTCAGCTTCGGCTTGTGTACGTGGACTCGAAGGCCAACACTGCTGATATCTTCACCAAGGCGCTCCCGCCTAGTGATCATCAGCGGCACTGTACTTCTTTAGGCCTTGTGTCCACGTTTCCTCACTTGCTCACTGCTTGACATTCTTTGTACTGTACTTTATATATATCCTGTTGCTTGCTTGCTAGGTTTTGATCACTGTGTTGCTTGTCTTGTACTATATCTAGCACTGCATGTGAACTGGCCTTGTGGCCTTTACTTGTGCTCGGAGTGTGGTGACGTTGTGATCCACCCTGGGCTTTGCTTTGCTTTGCTGGACTGGTCTTGTGACCCTTTGTTCTCCCCCACTTTGCCTATGGGGGTGTGTTAAACTGTATTATGCTTGTAGGCTGTAGTGGGGTAGCCAATATGGGGTACAACCCCAACTAGGGTTTCATATTTGTACCCAAACTTCTGTTAGTTCATTCATTCTTGCCTAGTTATTCTGAGAACTGGAGGAGAACTAGGCCGCTCTCCCAGGTCAGTCAGCAGGTAGGTGAGCCAGCGTAACTCCTGTGCAGCCATGGCTGTGGCGTAGATCTCAGCCTCACAACTAGAGCCGAGAACAGAGGAAGAGCGGGTGGACCGCCACGAGACAGAACCAGAGCCAAGGCTGAAGGTGTAACCCTGTGACGACCGCTGCGTAGCCAGGTCGTCCACCCAAGAAGCGTCCGAGTGACCAGTGAGGACAACTCTGTCGCGTCCTCCAAGCACCAGCCCCATGCCTGATGTACTGCACAAGTAACGCAGCACCCTCTTAGCAGCCTCCCAGTGCTCTCGCCTGTGTCTCCCAGGCGCAACGTAACGAGCAAGGATGCTAAGAGGGTACGCGAGGTCAGGTCGCGTGCAAGTCATCAGGTACATGATGTCAGAACATAATGCTTGTCTAGTCTGTAGTGGGGTACTCAATAGTGAGTATAACCCTTTTGGGCTTGCTATTTGTACTCCGCTTCTTTCTAGTTCAATCATCTTTCCTCTTCTACTGCTTGCACTTCTCTTTCGTGTACCCTAAACCTAGCTATGGCTTCTTAGTCTTAGCTACTATTTTGTCATGGAATCAGAGCGGTTACGCTCTTGGCCTGTGGGCCCCACGTGCTTCCGCTGCTTTCCTGTCTGTCGTGCGCCCCGTGGCGCGCGACGTCTTATTTTTCTTCCCGCCGCGCGTTCGGGTCGCGCGGCGGTTCGCTGCTCCGTCGAAGCGCCCCCCCCACCCCCCCGTCGCCTGCAGCAGACCCGCCCATCACCCCCGCTGCCCCGTCGCGGCGCCCTGGGGAGCCGCGCGCGGCCCCGCAGCCACGTCGCGGCGCCCTAGGGAGCCGCGCGCGACCCCGCAGCCATGTCGCGGCGCCCTGGGGAGCCGCGCGCGACCCCGCAGCCGCGTCGCGGCGCCCTGGGGAGCCGCGCGCGACCCCCCGCTGCCCCGTCGCGGCGCCCTGGGGAGCCGCGCGCGCGACCCCCGCTGCCCCGTCGAGGCGCCCTGGGAGCCGCGCTCGCCCCCCTCCCGCTGCCCCGTCGTGGCGCCCTGGGGAGCCGCCCGCCGTCCCCCGACTCGCTCACGGATCGCCCCCCCCCTCCCCCCCGCTGCTGCCTCTGTTAGGGTTTGGGGGTGGCGCGTGTGGGGGTGGCGCGTATGGGGGTGCTGGTTGTGTGCTCCGTCCCCTGCTCCTCCTCCTCCTTCGTCTCCCACTGCTGCAGCTGCCGCTGAGGGGGGTGGATGTGTGGGAGCCGAGGGTTTAGGGTTTAAGTGGGGGTGGCGTGTGAGTGGGGCTAGGGATGCAGCAAAGGGGTGTGTGATAGGGGGGTGTGGGACTGACAGGGGGGGGGTGAGCGGAGGTCGCAGTCGTGTCGTCTGCAGTGCCTGTAGTCCGGAGCCCTCGTGCTCTCGGTAGCCCAGCGAGCCTGCTGTGCCAGTCGCCTGTGGGTCTGTTGCTCCTGCCGCTCCTCGTAGCCGCGGAGCCTGATAACCCCCGTAGTCCAGTGCCCTCGTGCGCTCGGTAGCCACTGTGCGCGCCGCTCCTGTTGCCCGTTGTGTCTGCAGCTTCGCCCGTCGCCTGCAGCAGATCGCCCCCCACAGTTTCTCCTCCTCCTCGCTTGCCCTCTGTGTTAGTCTCTAGCCTTTGCTTATCACTATGATCTACTGCTCTGAATGCTTGTTGTGCTGGCTGTACCCCACCTTGACTATGGGGGTGTGTCAGAACATAATGCTTGTCTAGTCTGTAGTGGGGTACTCAATAGTGAGTATAACCCTTTTGGGCTTGCTATTTGTACTCCGCTTCTTTCTAGTTCAATCATCTTTCCTCTTCTACTGCTTGCACTTCTCTTTCGTGTACCCTAAACCTAGCTATGGCTTCTTAGTCTTAGCTACTTTTTTGTCACATGAGGCAGCCTACAAGCTCTGGGTACGGGCCACTCGGCTCTACGGACTCGTCCGAAGGTGGAGCTGAGAGCGAGTGGCTGGTAGCCAGAGGTGTGGCCTGTGGCGAGGAGAACTGGAAGCCGAAGCGCTGAAGGACCTGCTGCACCATGTGTGACTGAGTCAGGGTGATGGTGCGGCGAGCTCTGTCCCGGGTGATCTGCAAGCCAAGGTAGCTACGCAGTTCACCCAGGTCAGTGCAGGTGTGTCTCTTCTGCAGCTCCGACTTCACACGAGCGAGTGCCTCAGTGTCAGCAGTAGCAAAGACCAAGTCGTCGACGTACACGAGAATGTAGAACGGCGGCAGCGACGTGTCTGTGCGCAGAAACAGCGACGGGTCAGCAGTAGACGGCGCGAACCCAAGAGCCGCAAGTGTAGTCCTCAGTGTGTCGTGCCACTCACGTGGCGCCTGGCGGAGACCGTAGACTGGCCGGCGGAGGCTCCACTGGGTACCAGGGGGAAACGACCCAGTAAAGCCAGGTGGGCGGCGCAGCCAGATCTCCTCGTGCAGGCTGCCCTGCAGGAACGCTGTGCTGAAGTCAAGAGAGTGAAGCTCGTAGTCACGCTGAGCAGCAACGTGCAGCAGAACCCGAAGAGTGGTCATCTTCGGGGTGGGGGAGAAGGTCTGGAAGAAGTCAACCCCCTGACGCTGACTGAAGCCTCTAGCAACGTAACGAGCCTTGAAGACAGGCGGAGAACCTGGCGGCCGCTTCACCCTGAAAATCCACATGCCATCGACGATGTTCGCCCCAGGAGGGGGAACCTCGTCGACGTAGGTGCCTGTGGACTTCCAGGATGCCATCTCTGCGTCCATGGCTGTCTGCCACTGAGAGGAGTAGGGACCCGAGATCGCCTCTGCGTAAGTGCGCGGAGTGGGGATGTCTAGTGCATCCGGGTCTCCCTCAAGGGCAAGCAACCAGGCCACGAGATGAGGTACAGCAGCCGCGAGAGAGTCAAAGTCCTCCTGCCTGTCCTCAAGGACGTCCGTGCCAAGAGCACACTCACCCCCGACGGACGGAGGACAGACAGACGCAGACTCAGACTCAGCAACAAGGCTAGCAGCGTAGTCTAGACGACAGGCAGCAGCAAAGTCAACCAACTCAGCGACCAGAGCAGACGCAGCCGAGGACTCAAAGGTAGGGTCAGTGACAACAGTGGCTAGTAGACGCGTGACAGTAGGGTGCTCAGCGCGATACCGGTCAGACTCAGGGTCCGGAACGGTAGGCAAAGAGGACGCAGGAGGAGACGGTAGAGGGACACGCTGAGGAGCAGTAGAGGGACGCAGAGTCATGTAGTGAGTGCCTGGGACAGGAGGAGGACGCTCACGACGGACACGACTACCAGTGCGAGCAGGACGAACAGGCGACGCAGGACGAGACTCAGGCTCACGACGCTCTGTAAGACCTCCTGTGGGACCAGTGTAAGGAGAGGGAGCAGGGAGAGGCGAGGCAGGCGGGAACTGTGACTGCGGCTGGACAGGCGGAGGACACTCTAAGGAGGGAGGAGGACAAGGAGGAGGAGTCTGCCCAAGAACCTGCTGAAGGAGCGGTACGAAGTACGGTCGCGGCCGCGCAGCGTCTCCAGAAGCAGAAGAGACTCCAGCGGCCGGGTCCTCAGTACCAGCAGGAGCTCCAACGTCCGGGTCCCCAGCACCAGCAGCAGCGCCACCGCTCGGGTCCTCAGCTCCAGTAGCAGCTCCACCAGGTGGGTCCGCAGCACCAGCAGCAGCGCCACCCCCAGGGTCCGCAGCACCGCTAGGAAGAGCACCCCCAGAGTCGGCAGCTCCAACTCCGCTAGCACCGCCAGCGCCAGAGTCCCCAGCTCCAGCAGCTCCAGTCGTAGTGCTCCCAGAACAACCAGTCCCGGCAGCTCCAGAACCCCCAGTACGAGCATTCCCAGAACGAGCAGCTCCAGCACCCCCAACTCCAGCCGAGCCACGAGGACGGCGAAAGCGCCGGACGTACCAGTCACGAAGCTGCTGCGGTGTGAGAGACTGCTCAGCACCCCGAACCGGAGCACCCCCAGACGCAGCAACCCGAGGCTCCGTAGGCTCAGTAGCAGCACCCCCAGGCTCAGTACCCGCAGGCGCAGCACCCCCAGACTCCGCACACGCAGGCTCAGCACTCCCAGTCGCAGCACCCCCAGGCACAGCACCCCCAGGCGTCGAACTCTCAGGCACAGTACCCTCAGCCCCAGCACCCGCAGTCCCAGCACTCCCAGGCCCAGCACCCGCAGGCTCAGCACCCCCAGACTCAGCACTCCCAGCAGCACCACCCGCAGCAGCACCTGAGTCACCTGTGACCTCGACAGGCTCAGCGACGGGAGGAGGGTCTACCTGAGAGACACCTGAAGGAGCAGGACCCTGAGGGGGGAGGGGGTCTACCGGAGGGGGACCAGGAGCAAGGAACAGCGGCGGGGGAGGGAGGGGGGCAGTGCGGTAGGGGAAGAGACGGTAAAAAGGGACCGACTCGTCAAAGGTGACGTCCTGAGAGGCGAAGACCCGGCGCGAGGTGGGGTGGTAAAACTGCCAGCCAGGCGCGTCAGGGACAAAGCCAAGGAAGACACAGGGAAGCGTGCGGGAGGAGAGCTTGTCCGCAGACGTATCGCGGACAAGGGCACGAGCACCCCACACCCGGAAGCGCGACGCATCGCCAACCTCCCCCGTCCAACGCAGTGTGGGCGAGGTCTC